GTAACCCCATCTTCCTTCGCAAGGACACGCTGCAGCCTCAGAGTCTGCAGGATGACGCGAAGTGCTGCGTGATTGAATTCTGATCACGGTGATGATGATTTGTAGTCTTCACTGCTGTTGGACCGATTGCTTCTGTTGCTGTTGCTGTTGCTGCTTGTGTTGGTGTTGGTGTTTTTGTTTCTGTTGCTGTTGATGTTGGTGTTGGTATTGGTGGTGTTGGGTTTGTTGTTGTTGGTGGTGGTTCCTAAATAATCCTAATTAGCTAATTAGCCCACTTCCCAGCAGCACTGGTAGTACCTGCTTTGCACACCATCACGACGGCAGCTCTGCCCTTCGGACTCTACGCCTGTCCGTAACGCACGAAATCAAGTTTGAGATGTCACGCAGTGCGTAGCATATACCATACAGCTTGTAGCAGTATGCGATAACATGTGACCTTCGTTGCATGTAGTACCTCGCATTATGCAGTATAATATACGGTATAAAGTTTACACGTGTTCAATGTACGCGGCGCTAGGTGTAGGGTAGGAATCTGAGGCAAACCTCCCTCTCTCCCTTTCACGCTTTCTCTCGTAATAGACATGCGTACATGCGTGCATGTGTGTGTATGCGCACACGTTACGTGCGCAATGTTTACAGAAGACACTATGCCCAACCGCGCGACATGGGTTGACATGAACATGTTGAAGGCGTCGAAGTCAGCCAAGGCCCGAGCACTTCCAGTGGCGGATCCGCAACCTCCCGTACCCTGCCGACGTGTACAGTGTGTCGGTACGGCGCTGAAAACTCCGCTGGTCTCGTGCTAGGACTTAACATTCGAACCAACCCACCCCCCCCCGCCCCACGACACGGAGATTCCCTTACCTTACTCTTGAGGCTCTAGGGCTGCACTGGTGATGTCTTTCTGGCAAAACTACTTGTAGCTGTGTTACTCCTTCTCGGTCCCTCTGCGCTTCCAGCGCCTTAGCAAGTACGTAATGCCTGGCCATTTTCGTCGCCAGGTGGATCATGAGAAGCAGGAGATTGTGGTAAGGACCTCCAACAAGAAGTACTTCAAGAGGCCTCGTTGCGTGCAGACTTCGATGTTCTCGACCCTTGCAGAACAGCCTATGTGATGTCTCAGCTTGAAGCAGTCTAGATCTAGACTCTAAGTCATTATGATCCCTGCAATGAGAAGTCTTTTGAGCCCCATTGGTGTCAGGATACAGGTTCCAGACCTTCCGCGGCATGACTTGAAGTTCAAGGACCGGGAGGGGGATGCAGTTTTTTGGGTGGTGGCGCGTATGCCGCCGCGAAGGGTGCATCGATTTCGGGGCTGCAGTGCGCCAGAGCTCGAGTTTTGGCACGTTGCAGTTTGGACAAAAACTCTGCGATTCGGCTGTCGTATCGGTTTTTACAGTGCTTTCCGAGAAAAAACAAAACGACAAGGTTTTTGCAGTCGTTTGTCTTTTCTATCGGAATTTACAGTCTTCCGTGCCTTCTCCGTTTCCGTTTTTGGCTTGGGACTCGGCTGGTTTCGTCTGTGGCTTTCGTCTGCCTTCTCGTTTCTTTTTCTCTTTTTGGTTACCTGGCGGGGGGTGGGGAGGCGGGATGGGGGGGGATGTTAACGTCCATGGCGATGCGGCTTCTGACATTCGCTTCTGCTGTTTTTTCTTCTTATGTTCTTTTGCTTTCGTGGGGCATCAAATCCGCAAAAAACGCCTCAGGAAAAACAGGAAAACACCAGGAGACCAGGAACATCAAAAGAGCAAGAAACATGTCTCATTCACGAACACCACACACACAAAATCGACGTCTGCAGGTTTTTGGCCAACAAAAACAAAAACTAAAACATAAAAAGCAAAACAAACGACACACCTTTCGCGCCCCCTTCCTAGTCATTCAGTACCTATAGTCATTTACGCAGCTCGCATGTTTCTAGGAGTAGTATGTTAGACTGATCGCCATCATAGGCGATCTAGCAGGTTCAGCCTCGCAGCCCCCAATCCAAGCGTCAACTCTGGAGCCCTCGAAAATACGCCGAAAGCCCGGGAACCTCAAGCTTTGGACCTGTTCAAGGAAGCCTCGGACTCTATTTCCGTACATCAGGATGAGCTGCTTTCCTGGAAGCACCAGTGGCAAGCTCAGAGAACAGGTGAACAGCTTTGGGGTAAGTAAGGGAACCAGATCAAAGAGAGCAGATTGCCGCATGGTGGTTAAAAGAGGCAAACATAGCTTGGGCCCGTGAAGTGGGAAGGGACTTGGGGAGCCTGCGCAACTTAGACATGGACTGATGCTAGATGACTCAGGCATCAGACAACAGTTGCTGTTCTTGCCTTGAGTTGAGGCAGACTTAGGCTAGGGCCAGAGACTTTGAAGACATCGTGATGTCGGGCTCTGCATGTTCACGTCCGAACCTCTTTCATGTTCCCACTGAGGCATAGCACCCTCATCATCTCCTATCGGAAGCTCGGCCCCTGGTAAGATCAAGCGCAGCCCTTGTGCGCTGGCTTCGTTTCTACACTTTTGACTCCATTCGGCTGATTGAAAAAGTATTTCAAACGTTGCGGGGATGGACATGTATGCACGTTTGCATGTTTGCCACGGGCTGCATGTCTGTAACTGCACAGGCACCGCAACTGCACAGGCACCGCATACGATGAGTTGTACATGCTCACAGGTGTGTACAGCCAAGCAAAGATGCAGACATATATGCATGTGCTTGCATGCACATATGCCACACACGAGAGCAATGTCGGGGTTTGGGTCCGGGGTTGGGGTCGTCGTGGTCGTCGTTGTCGTCGTGGTCTCGTGGTTCGTAGCCGTGGTTGAAGTCGTAGTCGTACCACGTCGTAGTCGCAGTCGTCGTCGCAGTAGCAGCGACAGCTGGTAGTTAGTAGCTTGTAGATGATATCAGTACGCAAGCGCACAAACATGCCAACAGCACGAAGTTCGAGAAGTCGTCGTTGAGCCATCTTTCCATTTTTGAACCCAATCATCAACAGACATGTGTCTTGTGCTAAGTTATATGAACCCTAAACCCTAAACCCTAAAACCCCTAAACCATATAAGCCCTAAACCTAAAACCTCCCCCTAAACCTTAAAACCCCAAGCCCAAAAAACCCAAAAACCCTAAGCATCTAAGCTGTGGGGGTTCGGCCCGAGGCCGCCAGAGATCCTGAAAGGAGAGCAAGAGGCTCTCCGAGAGGCCGAGAGGCCCCGCCTCTGCCCGTCACTTCGTAGAGGGGGGTTTTTCAGACCCCTAAACTCGGTTTAGGGTTTAGGGTTTAGGGTTTAGGGGGCCCTGAACCCTAATTGGGGTTTTTAAAACCCTGAACACTAAGGGGGTTTTCAAAACCCTTTTTGCCCTGAGCCTTTATGGGGGGGCTTTTTGGAGGGTTTGGGCTTGTTCGGGTCGTTTCTGGTGGGGGCAAGGGTCGTGTGGTGTGCCCCTTCGGCATGTAATAGGATTGCAGGTTGCTCCCAAACCCTTCAATAAATATACAATCCCTCAGAAGCACTCTTTCTTTCTGTGTTGCAACACCTCGGAAGGATGGGAAAGCACGAAGCTGCATTCAGAGCTCTAGGCAGCCCCCAGACTCTGAACTCCTAGTTCCCATGACCTTCTCGCAGAAGCGGCTTTCGTCGGGCCGTTAGGTGGTGGTGCAGGCAGCAGTAGCAGCAGCAGGAGCTCCAGGGGTCATTGTCACAAGAGCTCCTCAGCTTTTTCAACTGCAAAGCCACTGCACATGAGCAGGTCGGCAGTCAAAATGTGACGCAGCCCGCCCTCGCTGCAGTCTTGGAGTTAGTTTTGCGATTCCAGGACATGCTTGAATTCGGAAGAGCGCTGCACGTTGCCGAAAAGGCCGACCTGGTAGAAGATCATGACGCTGGTGCTGGCAGCGCATTCATGCACAAGAACAGAAGTACAAGCATCACTATAGAAGTGATAAGAGAGGAATGCGTTAAAGTACGAAATCGTTACGTATTGATGGAACAGTGCGAACTGAAATCAGGCACCAAGCTTTGTCAGGTACCTGATCATCATCATGATTATGATCATCATTATCCGAAGGCGAACAACAGTCACAACGATAGGAGCACGACGGTAACAGCCCCCAGAATCACACACATGTCAGTGATCACCGCAAGCCGTGTGACTGAACATACGAGAGTGCTACCTTCCACATCGGCCGTTACGCCAAAGCCACAGCAGCAGTCATCGCATGGTTTGTCATAATAGCCCGAATTATTGCAGTACGAAAGGCTAGTTTCGTGGCAGTCAAAGTTCCTGTAGCAGCCATGTTCATCACAAGCTGCAGGGAATGGTGAGTATTACGACCCTGAGATAACAGTGATCATCTTGATCGTGCCAATGCAGGCAATTTCTTCGCAGCACCTGCGATCGTATCATCCATGAGAAAAGCAATGCTTCGCAACTAGCTACCTGATCAAACTTCTCATCTCTACCACAATCAGAACATCTGAGTCCGTAGCGAGCCACATTGGCCATGATGCCCTCACGAAGCACACCAGCCACACAAAGGCTGCACTCGTTCTGCTGACATAGCAATCATTCAGCTCGATAGAATCACAGCGATCATCATCATCATCATCACCATCACCATCACCATCATCACCATCATCATCATCATCATCATCATCAGTATCATCACCCTCAATGTGCTCAAAGCTGTGATGCATTTCGCGATATCCTTCAAAAAGTCATGGATGTAACATGATCCAAACGACCTAATGCAAGGACGTGCTGTACTTGTATGACACCCTCGCATGCATCATATTCACTGTCATCATGGACAAGTTTAGCAACTTGAAAAACCTGCCGGCCACTTGGTCAAAAAACTCGTATTCTTCTTATTTCAAAGAAAACGGGTGGTGGGCATCTATGACACACCTAGTGCGAGCACCGTGGATGTCTGAGCAGTGAGCAACTACCACCGCTGACAACGCAGCTCCATTTTTCTTGCTGTTTTCGGGGGCCTGACTGCTCTTGCTCGCGCATGCCATTTCAAGGCCGGACCTGGAGATACCACCGACTTTTCGCAGTACGAAGCACCGTCCGCGGATGTTGTCATTTAAATCACGTCCAGTTCGCTGCTCGCATGCCACAACTGCAACATATTGCAAGAGTTTACCGGCAACGCAGGTCTCTGTGGGAGAACTTGCCGGGAGTCCGCAAGTCCAAGCCCGCTGGAGCAATTCGCTGCCACGCTGTCCCAGGGAGTCCGACCGCTGGATGAAGCATGTGAGGCAGCCTTCACAATGCGCCTCGAAGTCGATTTTTCTTTTCGGGTTCCGGGGGCCTTCTGAAAGCGTCCATGAATGTGGCCGTTGCTCAGGTATACATTGCCACTGGAGGCCAGTCCTGTCTCCTTGTTTCACTTCGTGCTAGGACTACCCCTCTGCACGTGCTTTGGGAGGCCTTCATGAAACTGTCTGTCGTCAAGGCGCATGAGGAGCTGCTGCGCAGCGGCGACCTTGTCGAGTTTGAGAGGACTCATGGACATGCAGTCTTCGTGTCGCACCAGTGGCTTGCTGATGAGCATCCTGACCCAGCCGGGCAGCAGCTGAAAGTTCTGCAAGATGCTCTCAGAAACATGTTGTCTGGCAAGAGCCAGATCGTCGTTCCGCCGGTGGTTGAACTGTTTGCCGGGCGTGTCTCTCCGCCAGCAGCATCGGAACTTCGTGCCAAGCCGCTGTTCATCTGGTACGACTATTTCTCCTGCCCGCAATCCTGCGCGGATCGCCAGGCATCTGCAATCAGAAGCATCAACTCTTACGTGGCTCGCAGTGCGTACTTCATGGTCTTGTGTCCTGCGCTGAAACATCAGCCTCCTGGCGAGCTTTGCAGTTCTTCTGAGTTTCATTTGATATCTTGATGCTCCCCTAAGGACGGCCAGCCCCTAAGAAAAGCTATCCCGAAGACGATCTACAACCAAAGACGAATTCCAGATATGCTTCAGCAGACGTGACCAACAATCGCCAGGATTCGAGTTTCTCTGAATGTACAAGCGACAACCCAAGATGCTCAAAAGCTTAAGAATGAAAGCTGAACTCCGAAACCAGGCAGTTTACCACACATGACTTTCGTCGTACCGAACAGGCTTCGAGAGTCTTCAGCTTTCCAGGGGTAGAGGATACCCGGAGAGCCGTCCGATTTTTGATCTTTTCAGGCTCCCCTGCCCGAAACCCTTTGGCGGCTCGTGGAGCCAACAGGCCCCTTTGTTCTGGAAACATTCGGGACCGGGGGAGCTCTGTTTAGATGGAAAACTCTGGGAACCGGAAGCTCATCAGCACGAAGTCAGTGTAAGCCTGCTAGTAGCCTTCTTAGCAGCAGAAGCATCGTTCGTGCAAGCATGCTCTTGGGGATTTCGTAACCACATTGCTGATTCTCATATGGACCACTGTCGTAACTCAGGATCGCCTTTCCGTTGCTGCCGGTCGTATCATCTTCACGGCGCCCATCCTTCCCTAGAGCCCTGAAACCCCAAGAAAAACCCCAAAAGCCGAAGCTCCAGTCGTAGCCTAGGGTGTTTGCTCTCGTCGCCCAGGCAGCATGGAGGAATCCTGAGCCAGGCGACCTGGGGTGGAAGGCCAGACTGGGCTTTGGGGCTTTCGTGCTATTTGGTGCCCGACTTTTTCGTGTGGAGAGATCTCTTGCAAGCGACTGATCCTGAGCCGACCGCTCCCGAGCTGACCTGCATCACAACATAAACATGGGACTTTCCGAAAATTAGGGTACCTTATTTTGGGGTCCTTAAAATAAGGATCCTACTATTTAGAGTACCATATTAGGGTCCCCTATTTTCGGAAACCCCCACATGAAGATGCTTGATCCCTGCAGGGGTTGGTGCCGAGCCGAGAGAATGTCGCGCGAGCTGGGCCACATTGACAGCAGTCTTATTGTTGTGGAAAGCGCCACTCACCAGACTCTGCTGCCAGAATTCACTTCCTTCCTGCGCCATGGCTGAAGCACCCAGATTGGGCTAGTGATGTTTTATGCTTAACCAGTAGCCTTTCTCGCGTTTAATGCCCGGATGTGAGGTACTCTGTCGGAGATGGGGCTTTCACTCATGAGGAAGACCGCCAGCGCGTGAGCACCATCATCGTGCAGATGGTCTGGAGTAAGTTGCTGTACTACCTCTCGCAGGGCGAATTGCACAACTACCGCTTCCTCTTGATCCGTGCCCGAAACGATTGCAGTGGGATGGACTCCTCGTAGTGTGACCTTCCAACCCTCAAATCCGCCAGCGAAATCAGCCCGAACGAGAAGACACGAAACCCCTGGTCCGTCTAGTCTAAACCTGAAACCTTGTTGCCTCAAACCTTACGCCCAAAGCCCCGAACCCTGAGCCCTTTTCTGTAAACTTGTTGCAAGGAACCAGCAGTCGGTCCGCTTTGCCAAGCTCACTGCGGACCATATTGACATGGCCATTCCAGGCTTCACCACGGAGGTGCCTGCTTTACTATCACAGGTTAGGGCCTTTAGGATTATGCGAACAGCTGTCCTAGTAACCTTCGAAACATTAGCCAGTTTCTTGCTCTTCTGAATGTTTCTGGTAGTAGCTCGGAGTTGTCTTCCTTTGGTTGCTTCCTCAGTTTGGCACGGCTTCGGGGCCAAAAACCGTCCCTTTGAAGAGGGTCCAGATCCTTCACTGAAGCCGTGTAGCGTATGGCCCCCACGTATGTAACATGAGCGCCGTATCTGAGGCAACTTTAGGGTTTCGGGTTTAGGGTTTAGGGTGACCTGGTTTTGCCACTGTTTGCTATTTCCTCAATGAGACGAGAAAAATGAATGCTGGCAGTGTTTTGGAGGGATAGCAATGAGGAACTTAGCAACGGTGGTTGGCAAAGGAACTCAGGCGGCTGAAAACACAGAAACGATGCTGGCAGCACGAGAAATTCAGCAGGAGTCCCTACATGAGAACAAATTGAGATCACGGGGCGTCTCGGGTCTCAGGTTGGACGAAAATATAGGACTCTAATAGATATAACACAAGACAAACACAAGCACCAACATCATAAAATGCATGTCTTTTCTGTGAACAACGCTGCATCTGAGCAGCGTAGATCTGAAGGTATCCATCATGCAGCAAGTACATTGACAATCAATCAGACTTCAGACTTCATACTACTGCTGCTACTACTACTACTGCTACTACTACTACTACTAGTACTACTAGTACTACGAGTACTACTAGTACTACTACTACTACTACTACTATTACTACTACTACT